CGGACCAACATGGTGAAACCCAGCCTCTATTAAAAATACAAAAATTAGCTGGGCATGGTGGCACATGTCTGTAATCCCAGCTCCTTGAGAGGCTGAGGCAGGAGAAGTGCTTGAACCCAGGAGGCGGAGGTTGCTGAGCCGAGATCATGCCATTGCACTCCAGCCTGGGCAACAAGAGTGACGTTCTATCTCAAAAAAGAAAAACTCCTGGCCGGGCACGGTGGCTCACACCTGTAATCCCAGCACTTTGGGAGGCCGAGGCGGGTGGATCACAAGGTCAGGAGATCAAGATCATCCTGGCTAACACGGTGAAATCCCATTTCTACTAAAAATACAAAAAATTAGCCAGGCGTGGTGGTGCGCATCTGTAGTCCCAGCTACTTGGAGGCTGAGGCAGGAGAATGGCATGAACCGGGAGGCGGAGCTTGCAGTGAGCCGAGATTGTTCCACTGCACTCCAGCCTGGGCAACAAAGCAAGACTCCATCTCGGAAAAAAAAAAAAAAGAAAGAAAAACTCCTGGAGGACAGCGTTCACATCACATCTTTTATTTCATTACTATTTGTACTACAAAATGAAGTAAAGAATTGAGTATAGAGTAAAATCTCTAATATTCATTAGAATGCATTCTGCCAAGAAATGTATATATTCGATGCCTCCAAATCTTTAAATCTGAAAAGAGTTTTGAAATGGGCTTGTAAAGAAAAATAAACGTGATGGATGCACACGAAACTTGAGATCAGAAAATAATCAACGAATACGAAGTACTTCTTACCACAATTAAAACACACACACACACACACACACACACACACACTTCTGTATGTACTCTGGCACAAAAAGAGGTCAAGAAATTTAAAGAGCAGCCAAAATTATTAAGAGAAGGAACTGAAGGACAATTATAATAGTTAATTATCTCAGGCAATCGGTGACTATGAAAAAATCGTGCAATCAGGCTACCTGATCAATTAGAACGATAAGGGTAATTCTGGGACCATTTTTCACGGTGAATGAAGAACTATAGAACAGTAATGCCTTCATGTGAGGCAATTCCAGGAGGCTGAAAACAGGATAGGGTAAAACTATGAAATTTACATTGCTTCAGGAAAGGGGAATTACCTTGGCTTTATCTAGTGCAATCCTGAACTGCGTAGAGCTAGATTAGGTCTCCCAATGGAGAACTGACATAACTGAAGCCTGAGAGGGTACTGCGGATGAGATCACATGGATTTAATTTGGGAAAATGGAGGCTAAGAGGCATGATCATAAATCTAGTTTGTAAGTGCCACATACACATTGAACCCAGCTTTTTTTCTCATCCAAACTTGAAACATTTGGCAAAGAATGCCTTTACAAACTTCAGGAAGGCATCTACTTTACTTCAATTATAAAGGAACATATTACACATTAGAGGTGGTATCTCAAAATGACTGAGAACGCGAGCTCTGGAAGTCAGACTGCCTGTGTTCATAACCCAGCTCTACCACTTAGCAGCTCTGTGACCTGGGGCAAATTCCTTAATACTCTACTTCTTGGGTTCCTCAATGGAGAAAATGGAGGCAATAACAGGACCTATCTCACAAAGCTGTGGTGAAGATTACAATGCATGCAAAGTACTCAGAAAAAAAGGGTCTGACACATGGTAAGCTCTCAATAAATACTGGCTATTAATATACTTCTAGAATTCATAAAAATCAGGAAACAAATTGATTTTTTAAAGGTTCAAATATATTTAGGAATGGGAAATCAATATATGGCTACTTATAGAACTGGGACATACCCAACTTCAAGACTAGTGATATCTGAATGGGATGAACCAGTAAGACCATGCCTATTTTCCTTAAGTTTTCAACTCTAGAAAGTAATGACTACTAGCTTTGCTAACTCTTTCTTCATTAATTTTGCAAAAGGTATAAAAGCAATATGGAAAAAAAAGGTAGAAAAGAAAGAAGTAGATTAGCAGACAAGGTGATTTCCTCAGATCAGAATCTGATGTGCCAAATGGGTGATGTTCCCATGATTGGCTGAGGTCTTCCAGGACTTCGCATCTTTATAAAAGGGTGGGGAGTAGGGAGGAGGCAGGTCTATTACTCCACCTTCAGTTATGGCACTTTCCCTTTCACCCACTACACTCCACAAAGGCCTTCTTTCAGTTCCAGTATCAGGCCAAACTCTTTCCTGTCTCAGGGCTTTGGCAGGTTGATCTGTCTCCTACCTGGAACACTGTAACTCCCTTATTACCTTCCTGTGGCTAATTCTTCCTCATCCTAAATTCCCAGTATCAAAGTTACTACACTTGATACCCTTATTTAAAATATGTCTCTTGGCTGGGTGCAGTGGCTCACACCTGTAATCCTAGCACTTTGGGAGGCTGAGGTGGGAGGATCACATGAGGTCAGGAGTTCAAGACCAGCCTGGCAAACATGGCGAAACCCCGTCTCTACTAAAAATATAAAAATTAGCCGGGTGTGGTGGTGTGCACCTGTAATTCCAGCTACTCTGGAAGCTGAGGCAGGAGAATCACTTGAATCTGGGAGGCAGAGGTTGCAGTGAGCTGAGATCACACTACTGTACTCCAGCCTGGGCAACAGAGCAAGACTCATCTCAAAAAAAAGAAAAAAAAAAGGTCTCTCTTGTTATTTTCTATCACAGCACCCAGTGTGCTTCTGGTGCAGAAGGCACTTATGCAATTTGTAACTAATTATTTGTTTATGTATTTATTTTTAATGTCTCCCCCATTAGACAGCTCCATGATGGCAAAGAATATCTTTGTTCATTATATCAACCTCATTTACCTTAACACGTTGACTAGCATAGAGCGGACGCTCAATGAACATCTGCTGATCTGCTGAATGAATGAAATAATGACTCCTAAGGCCCCTTTCAGCTGCCCAATAATTATTAGGTAATAGGATAAAAAATACCCAGTGTAAAGGGGGAGGCTTTTACTTGGGGTATAGGAAATATTTAATTCTTCACTATGATAAAAAAACAAGCAACTAAATAGCTCCATTCCAAGAAGTTTAGTTAAAACTTGACTGATGTGGGCCGGGCGTGGTGGCTCACACCTGTAATCCCAGCACTTTGGAAGGCTGAGGCGGGCGGATCACAAAGTCAGGAGATCAAGACCATCCTGGCTAACAAGGTGAAACCCCATCTCTACTAAAAATACAAAAAATTAGCCAGGCGTGGCGGCGGGCACCTGTAATCCCAACTACTCGGGAGGCTGAGGCAGGAGAATGGCTTGAACCCGGGAGGCGGAGCTTGCAGTGAGCCGAGATTGTTCCACTGCACTCCAGCCTGGGCAACAAAGCAAGACTCCATCTCGGAAAAAAACAAAACAGAACTTGACTGATGTAATTATTAATGAGTAACAGCTTCCTCAATGACTTTGTAAGTTTTGCTTTCAGATGTGCCTTACCATTTTAACAACTGGTTATCTAGGCCCAAACCCCTGTCAAATAATGGGTTGGCTACATAAGAATTAGTCGATAAGCTCATTAAAAATACAGATTTTTGGACCAAAACTCCAGGAGATTGATTTAGTATTTGTGAAGTAAAGCTCTAGAATCGATATAATTAAAACTTTTCTCATTTTAAATAGATACTGTGTGTATGTCATACACAGGTCTAGAGGTTAGAAACAGTGTATAGCAAAGCTTCTCTTCTACTCCTGTTTTCCTGGCATAAAGTTCCCCTTTCCATAAGCTACTGCTGTTATCAATTTCTTGTGTATCCTTTCGGATAATTATTTGCCTATGCAAGCACATATATATCCTCTGATTTACATATTTAAAGAGCTGTTCTACTCTTGTTTTTTCTAACCTCATTTAACAATATATGTTGGAAATGAAAGTATCTGCATTTTAAACAAGCACCCTAGATGATTTTGACGTGAAGCCAAATATAGAAACAACTCACAGGCCCATGGTTGTGAGATTAAGTTCAATTCACTACAACATATTAGAAACTCAAGGACATTGAAGGATGCTCTCAGAAGTAGCCTTGCTTACTTGACCTCTGCCCTCTCATCTTACAGAGATGAACTAAATAATTCGCCAGTGTCTCCACAGAAGCCAGGAAAAATGAGCCATTCAAATGGATGCTGTCAAAGCTTCAATTTTCAATTGTTGGAATTCTTTCCTGCTCATGATTACCCGAAGTTACAAACTTGACAATTCCTGTGTTACACAAGACATTCCTGTATTTAAGTTGAAATGAGGTGTGATCGTCACTGAATGAGGGCTGGTTTTTCTCCTGCCAGTTAAGTAGTTTAACGGAGCACAACCGAAATACTTTCTTTACTAATCCTTATTCACACAACCTCATCCAAACTTCCCCCAAAATTGCTATCTTGCCATTTGAGCAAAAGCAATTAACTTAGAAACTGTGGGGAGAAGATTGCTTGGTGAATTCTGGAGTTCGGGGCTCCTCTTGTCCTGACTTGACCTACCTAGGGGGGGTTCCCTAGGCAACTCTATCTCCCCCATCCCACCTACCCGCCGGACTGCATAGGGAGCTTACTTTTGGCACTGAGGCAAGGTTCTCCGAAGGCCACCCGACCTCCGCAGTGTCTCTGTCACCACGAGGGGCACCGCGCGGCAGGCATCCTCACCTTTCCTACACCGCGCCAAGGAGGCAGGAGTGCACCAGCCTACCCGAGAGAGGCAGGGAACCCGCTGGGATCCAGCGCTGGTTTACTCCACACCCTCGTCGAAGGGGCTCTCGAGGGTTCGGTTTCTGCCCGAGCCCCCTGAAAGGTGGAGGAATGACTCCTCCATCCCTTCCCCTTGAATTCAAACGTGAGGATGGTATCTGCGAGGCTAAAGCGGGGCTCAGAGGGCCCAAACCTCAGACCACTCTCTTCTCCACTCGGCTTTTCTTCCATCCTCTGGGCCATGTGTCTCCCCGTGAGTCGTGGCCCAAGTCTCCCCACCTCGGCCAGCCGCCACCCTCTGGCCTGGCTCCCGCCCTCCTGCCCACCTGGCCCCTTCCCCCTCACCCAGCATGATGGGGCTGAGCCGCCGGGCCAGGCCCTTGGACAGGTCGTACACGTAGAGCTTCACCGGATAGAGATTCGGCGGCTCCATTGGGACCCGTGGCGACGGCGGCCACGACGGCCCTCGGGCACCCGGCAGCGACTTGGACCTTCCCGTACCCGACGGGGGTGGAAAGCGGAGGGAGAGGGGGGGACCGAGCCCGGGCCCGGGCTGAGGGGTGGGGGAGAGGCCGCCCTGCGCTGCTCGCGCCCCCACACCCGCTACCAGCAACGACTACTGTGAGGTGACAGAGAGCGGACAGAGATGGCCCACACGGAAGAGGGGGCGGGGGCAGGCACGCACTTTTGCGCATGTGCTTATTGTCCTGACGTACGGCGGGGGCGTGGCTTTGCAGAAGTGGGCGGGGCTCTCTGATTTCGTCAGGGACGTAGGTAGAAGCTGGTTGGGGAGCGTGCGTGCCAGCCTGACGCGAATAGTGCGCACATGCGTGATGACGTAGGGGGCGTTGATTGGGAACAAGAACAGGGCCCGCGCATGCGTGGATTCTCGTCTTCTGTCCAAGTTGGTCGCTTCTCTGCGCCAAAGGTAAGCGGGCCGTTACCCATTTGTGTTGTTCGCCAGCGAGGCCTGGCCTCGTCCCGCTTCGCCCGCTCGGTGTCGCGCGCCCCCATAGCCTTGCTAGAGGGTTACCGTTAGCCTTAAGTGTGCGAATCCGAGGGGTAGCGACAGACTCGAGACCACGCTCCTTCCTCCCGAAGGAGGCGGCACCTCGCGTTTGAGGCCCGTCTGCGTTTGAGGCCCTCCTGCGCTTGCGGCCTGCCTGCACTTGAGGCCCGTCTGCCTTTGAGACCTCATTGGGCGTGATTGAGGAATTTGGGGAGGTTTTTGGGCGGTATTGAGGACGAGGGGGTCCGTTAGTGAGCACAGAATTCCGAAGCGGGAATCCTTCATCGTCTAAATGGCGCCGGGGGCGGGACCTCCGGCATCTGGCTTCCGCGGGCCGCCGCGGGCCCTGAAACGTGAGGCATAGCTGAGATGAGGCTGTTATTGGGATGGCCCCCATGCGCATTTACATGCAGTGCGACTGCCGAGCTTTCGAGGCGGCAGGATTTACCGTCCACGTTCCTCACTACTAACCAAGCCTTTAGAACAGATCTCACGAGAACCTAGAGGTCGGTATTTTTTCGGTTTAAATTTGCCTGTTACTGACTTTCACGTCTTTCGCCTAGTGAGCAGTAGCCAACATGTCAGGGTGGGAGTCATATTACAAAACCGAGGGCGATGAAGAAGCAGAAGAAGAACAAGAAGAGAACCTTGAAGCAAGTGGTAAGTGACTTCAGCATGTAGTGCCATTCGGTGTGTGGAAGAAAGACCTTCCCTGCCCATCTCTGCTGGGTGGACTTTTCTGTTTGATGGCATGCCCTTCTCCCAGATAATTCTGAAGTTCTTTTTTTCCTTTGAACTTTGCAGAGCTACCCTAGGCTCTTATATTCAGATCCTACTCTAGTCTGCCCTAAGTTTTTTCTGGACACTGGTAGTTTGACATCTTTTGGGCCCTGATAAATGGCCATGACCATGAGTATTTTTTGTCATCTTAAGTGGTTCAGGTGAGACCCTTCTCATCCAGGAAAGTAGTTTTACCATTGCAGGACCTCAGTGTAAAAATGCCCCCACCCTACAATAACTAGCCCAACCAAAGAATAAATGCAAGCAACACAGTTACAGGAAAGCGATTGATGCTTTCAATGTAGCCTCCATGTTTGGGAGTGTTATGTTCAGGCAACGCAGTAACACAGTAGAACAAAGGAAGAGAAATAGGGGTACATGTAATCTTCATACTGGTTAATTTAACTCCTGGGTAGACGATTTTTGAATTTTTTTTTTTTTTTTTGAGATGGAGTCTTGCTCTGTCATTCAGGCTGGAGTGTAGTGGCGCAATCTCGGCTCACTGCAACCTCCGCTCCCCAGGTTCAAGCGATTCTCCTGCCTCAGCCTCCCAAGTAGCTGGGATTACAGGCGCGCTGTAATTTTTGTACTTTTAGTAGAGACGGGGTTTCACCGTCTTGGCCGGGCTGATCTTGTGATCCACCGTCCTCGGCCTCCCAAAATGCTGGGATTACAGGCGTGAGCCACCGCGTCCGGCCAAAATTTTGAATGTTTTTATTAAAAGTGAGAAACGCCAGGCGCGGTGTCTCAAGACTAATTCCAGCACTTTGGGAAGCCGAGGCGGGCGGATCACGAGGTCAGGAGATCGAGACCATCCTGGCTAACACGGTGAAACCCTGTCTCTACTAAAAAAAAAAACAAATAATTAACCGGGCATGGTGGCAAGCACCTGTAGTCCCAGCTACTGCGAGGCTGAGGCAGGAGAATGGTGCGAACCCGGGAGGCGGAGCTTGTAGTGAGCCGAGATGGCGCCACTGCACTCCAGCCCGGGCGACAGAGCGAGACTCTGTCTCAAAAAAAAAAAGAAACGTGGGCAATATATAAAAAATTAAAAAATTTGCCATAATCTGTATAATCTACCACCCTAACACAACTGCTACCAGCATTTTGACATTTTTGTATTTTTCCTTCAAGTATCTTTCAATCTTTATTTCCTAATAAAATATATATCTGTTTTTTAATTTTTTGATAGAGACAGGCTGGAGTGCAGTGGTGAGATCATCATAGCTCCCTATAACCTCAAACTCCCGGGCACAAGTGATCCTCCTGCTTCAGCTATCTCAGTAGCTGGTACTAAAGTGCCACCAACTCCCAATAATTTTTTAGTTTTTTGTAGAGACAGGGTCTTGCTATGTTGATCAGGCTAGTCTCAAACTCCTGGCCTCAAACGATTCCCCCCCAGCCTTGGTCTCCCAGAGTTCTAGGTTTATAGTCATGAGCCTCTGTGTCCAGCCTGTATCTGATTTCTTGTATTGTTGTAACGATGGTGCATATACATTTTTGCCATTTTAATTTACACCAGTCTTCCAAATATAATTTTAAACAAATGTACATAATTTTGTGTTCTACCTTTTTTTCTTATTGTTGTAGCATGGATATATCTTCCCTTGCAAGTACATGTATTTAATCTCTATAACTCCTTTTATTTATTTATTTATTTACTGAGACAGAGTCTCGCTCTGTTGCCGAGGCTGGAGTGCAGTGGCTCAATCTCGGCTCACTGCACCCTCCACCACCCCGGTTCAAGCTATTCTCCCATCTCAGCCTCCCGAGCAGCTGGGAACACAGGCATGTGCACCACCACACCCAGCTAATTTTTGTATTTTTGGTAGAGACAGTGTTTCGCCATGTTGGCCAGGCTGGTCTTGAACTCCTGGCCTTAGGTGATTCGCCCACCTCGGCCTCCCAAAGTGCTGGGATTACAGGTGTAAGCAACCGTGCCTGGCCTATAGCTCATTTTAAATATACCACAATTTGGCCGGGTGTGGTGGCTCACGTCTGTAATCCCAACACTTTGGGAGCAGATCACCTGAAGTCAGGGGTTAAAGACCAGCCTGGCCAACATGGCAAAACGCCGTCTCTACTAAAAAATGCAAAAATTAGTTGAGTCTGTGGTGACATGCACCTGTAGCCTCAGCTGCTTAGGAGACTGAGGCACAAAAATTACTTGAACCCAGGAGGCAGAGGCTACAGTGAACCAAGATTGCAACACTGCATTCCAGCCTGGGCGACAGAGTGAAACCCTGTCTCAAAATAAAACGGGCCGGGCGTGGTGGCTCGGGTCTATAATCCCAGCACTTTGGGAGGCCGAGGTGGGTGGATCACGAGGTCAGGAGATCGAGACCATCCTGACTAACATGGTGAAACCCTGTCTCTACTAAAAAAATACAAAAAATTAGCCAGGTGTGGTGGCAGGTGCCTGTAGTCCCAACTACTCTGGAGGCTGAGGCAGGAGAATGGCATGAACCCGGGAGGCGGAGCTTGCAGTGAGCTGAGATCGCATCACTGCACTCCAGTCTGGGCGACAGCAAGATTACGTCTCAAAAAAATAAAAATAAAATAAACCAGGCATGGTGGCTTATGCCTGTAATCCTGGCACTTTGAGAGGCCAAGGCGGGTGGATCACCTGAAGTCAGGAGTTTGAGACCAGCCTGACCAACATGGTGAAACCCCATCTCTACTAAATGCAGAAAATTAGCTGGGCATGGTGGCACATGCCTGTAATCCCAGTTACTTGGAGATAACCAGACGTTATATACCTTTTTAGGAAAAAACATGTTACTTACGATAGAGTCATGCTGAAGAAAGAAAACCTGAATCTGATTAAGTCTCTCTAGGTCCTTAGTAGGAAGGACAGAGGACTATGTTAATCTGCACCAAAAGAGGTCAATCAGCAGGCCCGGCAAGGTGGCTCATGCCTGTAATCCCAATACTTTGGGAGGCCGCGGCAGAGGATCGATCAAGCCCAGAAGTTCAAGGCTGCAGTAAGCTATGATTGCGCCACTGTGTTCCAGCCTGTGTGAGAGAACAAGACTCTGTTTCTAAAATGATTAATTCATTAATTTTATTTATTTATTTGAGATGGAGTCTCTGTCGTCAGGCTGGAGTGCAGTGGCGTAGTCTTGGCTCGCTGCAACCTCTGCCTCCTGGGTTCAAGCGATTCTCCTGCCTCAGCCTCCCTAGTAGCTGGAATTACAGGCATGCGCCACCACACACAGCTAGTTTTTGTATTTTTAGTAGAGATGGGGTTTCACCATGTTGTCCAGGATGGTCTCAATCTCGACCTCGTGATCTACATGCCTCGGCCTCCTAAGGCGCTGGGATTACAAGCATGAGCCACCATGCCCTGCCATTTATTTAGTTTTATTTTTTTTGAAACAGGGTCTCACTGTGTCACCCAAACTGGAGTGCAGTGGCGCAATCTTGGCTTACTGCAGCCTCCGCATCCCAGGTTCAAGCAATTCTCCCACCTCAGCCTCTCTAGTTACAGGCATTGCCACCACCACATAGGCTAGTGTTTGTTTTTTATTAAGAAGATGGGTTCCACTGTGTGTGTTCCGAATGATCTCAATCTTTGTGTCCTCATGATCCACACGCTTGGCCTCCCAAAGTGCTGGGATTATAGGCGTGAGCCACCTGTGCTGGCCAAAATAATTATTTATTTATTTTTGAGACGTAGTCTTGCTCTGTGCCCAGGCTGGAGAGTAGTGGTGTGATCTCTGCTCCACTGCAGACCCCTGCTCCCTGAA